CATTCTTGTGGAGGTCTCAATAGCTGACAGTGATTTGTTCAATGACTATCATTCCTAGGCATTCTTGCAGAAGTCTCAATAGCTGACAGTGATTTGTTCAATGACTATCATTCCTAGGCATTCTTGCAGAGGTCTCAATAGCTGACAGTGATTTGTTCAATGACTATCATTCCTAGGCATTCTTGTGGAGGTCTCAATAGCTGACAGTGATTTGTTCAATGACTATCATTCCTAGGCATTATTGTAGATGTCTCAATAGCTGACAGTGTTTTGTTCAATGACTATCATTCCTAGGCATTCTTGTGGAGGTCTCAATAGCTGACAGTGTTTTGTTCAATGACTATCATTCCTAGGCATTCTTGTAGAGGTCTCAATAGCTGACAGTGGTTTGTTCAATGACTATCATTCCTAGGCATTATTGTAAACGTCTCAATAGTTGAGTGTTTTTGTTCAATGACTATCATTCCTAGGCATTCTTGTGGAGGTCTCAATAGCTGACAGTGATTTGTTCAATGACTATTATTCCTAGGCATTATTGTAGATGTCTCAATAGCTGACAGTGGTTTGTTCAATGACTATCATTCCTAGGCATTATTGTAGATGTCTCAATAGCTGACAGTGATTTGTTCAATGACTATCATTCCTAGGCATTATTGTAGATGTCTCAATAGCTGACAGTGATTTGTTCAATGACTATCATTCCTAGGCATTATTGTAGATGTCTCAATAGCTGACAGTGATTTGTTCAATGACTATCATTCCTAGGCATTATTGTAGATGTCTCAATAGCTGACAGTGATTTGTTCAATGACTATCATTCCTAGGCATTATTGTAGATGTCTCAATAGCTGACAGTGATTTGTTCAATGACTATCATTCCTAGGCATTATTGTAGATGTCTCAATAGCTGACAGTGATTTGTTCAATGACTTACATTCCTAGGCATTATTGTAGATGTCTCAATAGCTGACAGTGTTTTGTTCAATGACTATTATTCCTAGGCATTATTGTAGATGTCTCAATAGCCGACAGTGATTTGTTCAATGACTATCATTCCTAGGCATTATTGTAGATGTCTCAAAAACCAAGTGATTTTGTTCAATGAGTCATTCGCAGGCATTCTTGTAGAGGTCTCAATAGCTGACAATGATCATGTTCCATGACCATCGTTCCTAGGTTTTATTGTAGACATCTCGAAAGCCAACAGTGATTTTGTTCGACGAGTCATTCCTAGGCATCATTGTCAAGGCCTCTAATTACATAGAATCTAGACTACTTATTAACATCAGTTCATGATTCGCAATATATAATTCTCTCAATACAATTGGTGTCAGCATTAAATGTTTCCAAAAAAGGGAGCATACTAAAATGCATTGTTCATTTTACAAATTCATTCAATATGTTTTAGACAGTACCTTCATGTACTTTGACAGACAACAACCAATTCTCTGCATCTTGAATACAGCATACCTGTTTGATCACTTGAAAATTTACCCACATGGACACTGTTTGGTTCAATTCTAGTCTATTACTGCATTGTATTTTAATAATCAGATATGCTTTTCTTGTGAGACACATCTATGTTTATTCTCAATATATCAGGTGCTATTTTAGCAATTGCAGTTGTGTTAATATATTTTTACATAAAGTAAAATAAAAAGTATTGCTACTGTGAAAACGTGTCCTGTGCAGAAATTAATTTCAGAAAATAGTAGTGTTCATAACACCATTAATACAGCTGGCCCAGATTTTTCTCATTGTCAAATACCAAACTATATGCACTTGTGGTCACCATGTGGGACATGTTGAATTAATGAATCTCGACAGGGTCAAAGTGAGAAATGGCTCTGGACTTGCACAGAACAAGAAATGGCTTTGCACTCCTACAGCTAGACAGATCCCAATTGAGAAATGGTTGACGAGCACACAGACAGGACTTGAATGCGAAATGGTTGACGAGCACACACACACGCACACATAGACAGGACTTGAATGCGAAATGGTTGACTAGCACACACACACGCACACATAGACAGGACTTGAATGCGAAATGGTTGACTAGCACACGCACGCACACGCACACATAGACAGGACTTGAATGCGAAATGGTTGACTAGCACACGCACACACACACATAGACAGGACTTGAATGCGAAATGGTTGACTAGCACACACACACGCACACATAGACAGGACTTGAATGCGAAATGGTTGACTAGCACACACACACGCACACATAGACAGGACTTGAATGCGAAATGGTTGACTAGCACACACACACGCACACAGACAGGACTTAAATGACAAATACTGTATCTTGAAAGAGTAAATTTATTCTGGAAGCATTCAATGTCAGCTACAGATACAATAGTTTATTTGAAACTACTCTCACCAAAAGGCAGTAACAATTTCACATGTACAACATGTGTGCAATATACGGTACACAAAAAAATTACATTTTGCTGTTAATACTCCTTGCTCATTTACATACAACAAATCATGTGAAAAAAGGTAAAACAGAACTAAAAGTTAATTTCCAAGGGTAAAAAAAGTCAATTGCATAAATTACCGACCAGAAAGTTTGGCGCTAATGACACCGGCAAAGTCATCCCACATCAACATGCTGCATGTGAGAATTGTCACATTCATCATTATTGACAAAATATGCGTAAATTTTAGTGTTTTATGATGATACTCCAGTCATTGATTTACTTAATAGAAGAATTTGGAATTGAAAAAAAAATATGAATTTGCAGACTTTCACATCAACAGCGTTAATTTGCAACATGCACCAGTTATAATATAGGTTCCATTTCTTAGATTTTTGTAACAGTGAAGCAGTATGATATTGACTGGTTGGTCAAAATTTAAGCAAGATTCTTTGTGTGGTGAAATATTTTTGGCAGCTGCAAGAGTTCCCAGATATTCTATGTCAATTTTGTAACTAAATTGATAGGATGTTGTACATGGCTTAACAAATACATGCTAAATACAACAGAATACAAAATTGGAAGAGGACTGAAAATCTCTTCAAGTGTCGTTATGACTAAGAGGTCAAAAAGTGAATAAAACAAAATCACCTCTAGGATCAATTCTCAGTCAACAAATTTACTAAAAGAATCAGTCACAGATGTCTGACATACTAGTAGTTAAAATTGACAGATTAGGCAAATTTAATGTACAGTTCAAAGATCAAAACTGTACATTATTTTTTATACGAGCCTATTTGGAACTCAAAAATGAATATTAAGTTCCTAATTGTGAAACAAAAATAGTATGCACATAAAAATTAATTTTAAAAAAAAGTTGAAAAATTCTCTCAGTAGACAAAATGCAGGTTTTGATGTTATTTAACATTATGTTTGAGTAAGTAATCAAATCCACCATCTTGTTTGCAGATAATTGTGTTATAATTAGTAAAGTGCTCTTTCAAATAAAAAAAACCCATGACTAAAGCAAATAAATGTTAGACTTTAAAGTACCTTTGAAATCATGATCAATGAGTAGTTGTTGTAATTCAGAAATGCAAGAGTTGGTGATACAGGATAAAGGAGCTACAATTGATACTGGCAATCATTGAGGTAATGGTATATACCACAATCAATCCATAAATGGTGCAATTAGAATGGATCACTGCATCTGCTCTGACATGTAACTATTTTTTACAAGAAAAAAAATAATTTAAGTTTGTGGTTGTTCTGGAATGACGAGTGAAATTAATGCAACTCAGAGAGTATATTCATATTACTACCCCCAGTAGGGAAAAATATCAAAATGATATAACATTATTTGTACAGATAACATTACTGTGTCTTTACATGCAATTGCATATGAAAGTGGCATTACATGTTTTTTTCTCTAATTTATTTTGTGATTTCAACAAACCTAAATAGGTCTATAGATGTTGAAAGGCAATGGGAGACAACACCATATCATATTGAGGGAAAACAAAACACTTATGGCAAAGAAAACCAATAACAATCTACTACGTAGAGACAATAATAATTATAATGCATTTTTTTTCAGTTGGTTAACATTTTAAGCTATAAACAAGCTCAATAAAATCAGTAACTGAAACATTAATTTTTTTTATTTTAAATAATATACATAACATACCATATTTATGAATCCACAATAAAATTACATTTAAGCATAAAATCTTGTCTAACTTCAGTGAAATTTAAAGGTCCAATATTGCCAAAAAGAAGTATTTTTACCACAGGTTAATCTAGACATTCTCGCCAAAAAAAAAACAAGGCCGTATACAATTATTATTGTGGTCTTTATCATTATGAAACATAATAATATTACTAAAATTTGTATAACAGAGGAAACAATCTACTGATTAATATAAATATTCATGATATGCAAATTTTGTTGTTTCATTCCGACGTTATTTGAAATATTGATTGGGAGATATTTATCATATTGTGATTATGGAATAACCCATAGTACTGAATAATTATTATAGAGACAACTGCAACAAGTTTCTTTGATTATATGCTGACATATATAAGACTAGTCGCGTACATGTCCACACGCTTGCAAGAACACCAACAAGTCTTGTTGGTTGTATGCTGAATAGTAAAAGAACACCAGTCAGTACACTACACATGTGAAAACTGCAATGAATATAACTGTGTCTTTTAAGGACAGCATTGCTTCTTCACTTTAAGCTGCGACTCAAATACATAATCTATACCTACTATTCTATCGTCTATAAGGCCAGTGCCTAAAGACCAAGCATCCAATGTAAGTGACCTGTACACAGTTGTCTCTGGACTAAGCAGTCAGGGCTAAGTACTGCATTGACTCACAATTGAGTACTATACATGAACCGTATATAAAACTATGTATACATTAGAAATTAATTATCATAGCATGGACCATGTCATGGTATTAAATAATTCACCTATCTCTACTACCCTTTGCGTCAATTTTACAATTTTTTTACAAATTTAAATTACCTAGAAGTTTTCCTAAGGAACTAAGAGAGAAGGGGCATTTCATGCACATTATGCATCAACTTACTTTAAATTTAAAAGTGTATATAAAACCACTGTATTAATTATTATGCTATAAAATTCATTCTGACAACGTTAATTTATTTACACCTTCTTACTTAATAATGACAAATGGTTATTAGCTCAGACTGGAAATAGCAAATAATTTTTGATGAAATGTTGATGAAATTGAATACTGTAGAGATTCATCTTTCAAAAACATACCACTGATTATTAAAATACACTACTGAATAACGAACGTCTGTTGCTACTGGATATATCTAATCACTCTTGACTTTGGCTTGTGTTAGTTTCGGTCTATCGACAAATTCCACCCCATTAGCATAAATAATTGCAAGAGTAACCATGGTTGCCGCTGCCCAAAACAACACATACATTGCCTGCTGGTAGAACTCGGCTACAAGAAATGAAAGACAATGCAAATAAAGTTATCAACGAACGAAACACTCAAGATACAGCATAAAGTTTAAAATGAAGTCATGAAATGAAAAAGGAGGCTATCAGCTGATATAGAATTTGAGATGCACATTGTGAAAGCAATCTAAGTCAATGATAATAACAGAAAACTTAAGACACAAAAGGAGTAAATTTGATTATACATTGTATGCAGGACAAAAATCTGTAAATTGGGTAATCATTATGCTAATGAGGAAATTAATATGCATAGTTCAACCCCAAACTCATCAGGTCTGTGGTTATCTCACAACATCTATATATACTATTGCCACAAAAATTCACAGTTCTGATTGAGATACCTGTAAAACAGCTAAACTAAAAATTTACAATTACAAATATGCAAATTAGATATTCAATATGCACAAATTTCCACAATGAACTATTTAGTTATGTGGATTATCCTCAAGCACTTACATAGGATTCATAGAAATCTGTTTTGCGAAACAACCAAAATTTTGTAATTAATGACAATCAATTTGCATGGCATCTGGACCAAAACTAATCAGGTAAATGGAGTATGGCGCACCAATACAACTAGTTTCTTTGAAATCAGTTAAGTGGTTCTTGAGATATCAAAATATAGGTCTATCATGAAAAGTGAAGCGATAAATTTAATTCAATTACATTAAATTACAATCAATTTAATTGAACTGAATTTAGTTAAAATAACTCAAATTTCATTCTATTTCCTAAATCTATTTTATATATTTGTAATAAAAGATATTCTTACCAGCTGGTATAAGAAGGCATATTATACACATAGAGATAGCAACTAATGCAATGACTGGAAGCTGTGAATGAAAATACCGTATATACATAATGTTAACATTTCAGGAAGAAAATTTACATATGTTATAACAAATACCATATTTCTAGGTGTGTTATGATTTTAAATAATGTATTTTAATAATCCAGTATACAATAAATACAATTTTTGTTTTTGTATTTATAAACTTTTATTGGAGTTTGCACTGAAATTATCATCTTACATACTTGGTTTGTAAATTACAAGTTGTAGTTAATCTACATATTGTGAAGTGGACTGGGTAACATTTTTCATAAAATATCCCCATTTCTTGCTATGAGAAGTCAACCTATTCCATCAGACAGCAATGAAATACTTTATACTTTACATATCTTTTGTATGCCATGAATTCTAGCTTTTAATTTTTATGTCTACCCAAGTAAATATATTTTTTTGCTACCAGAAAGAGGAAGTTCACTAAACATGTAAAATTTTCATCCCCAAGAAGGATTTGTTGTGCATTCGGGAATGCCCTCAGGCCAAGCTTGCCCCCCCCCACAATTTTTGGTTTATGGCACCTTTACTAGAGCCAATGCTATATTTATTAGTTTTATGCAACCCTTAATGTAAGAGAGGCACACTAGTATTAGAAGATAGCAATTATATCATATTTTCTCTGTTAGAGGTACACACAAAAAACTAAAAATATCAATTAGTGCATATCATTAAAGAGCGGCAGTCGTCGCGCCACGCATGCGCGAGATATATGGGTCTCATATAAACAAAGATGGTGACTTTGGTCGTTGCACAGATCAACGAGTACTAACTGACACGTTTCCAAGCTTTAATTAGGTATTTTTAGGTGATTGGAAAGTTTCAAAGGAGTCACCGGCGGTATTCAGTGCAAGTTGCGCCCAGGTCAAACCTCATACTTGTGATTTCCATTTGAAGAGCGCACTGGATTGTGGGAAAATCAATGTTATCAACACAAATGTCGCACATGTGCAGCGCGACGACCACCGCGCTTTAAGTTTGACCAATGACATAACTCTGTTATTTACATAAGTGCATATATTACTAATATAGTAAATATGGTATACATATATACAGTATAAGCTTTACTCAATGTGTCATAGTAACACATATATGAAAAATAACTGACATTAAAAAAATAGTAACATTTGATTGAGAAAGTTTGTTATAAAAATAAAGATGTTTTTTTCCAAACTCAAAACATTAAGTGAGAAAGGACCAAGAATATATTAAAAAAAAAGCAAAATAAATGTTATTAAATTTTTAGAGTAATAAACTGAAAAATTTTCCCAAACAAGTATTCAGATAAATATGACAGATTTACTTACTGCAATGAATTTTGCTTCTTTTTGTTTTTGTAATGGCGATGGTGCGATGTAACCCTCCCCCTCTTCCACAATGTAATTCCCAAGAAATAAATCGATTGCATCCTAAAAATGAAAAGAATACAATTCAAGAATGAAATGGGAGGCGACAGACACTGGCGAGACTGAAAAAACGTATGCAGCCAAGAAAATGATTGTTAGGAATCATGTTACATGTACACACTGTCCCAGAGCATCTATGTACCGAGTTTCATCGAAATCTGACCAGAAGTTCATGAGATAACAGTCGAAAAGACGGACATACATACAGACACACAGATTTGACAGGATAATATTGACAAAATGGACACTACCCGGTATGCACTAAAATAGGCTGGTGATCCTTCCAACTATTGTTATATTGAGTTTGAGTACAATTTATTGCAAATGAATAAATTCTAGATATTTTTAATTCATTCATGAATTCTACTTTAAAAAATGCAGACATGGGATTGAAAGCTGACTCCAAACCTATTAAAGGTGCATGCGACTAACCTGTCTAAAACCATCTGAAAAATTATTTTTATAATATCTAATCGATGAATTGTAGCCGTCTTTCAGTAATCCCCACTTGGTCCGTTTACCAGTCCTACAAAGACATGAAACATGTTAGATAAACATACTGTTACTACACGGATACTAACATGAACAAATTATTTTATAGAATATACAGAACTGGCATACCACAAAAATACTCAAAAAGTATGACTTTTGTAACTCACAAATCAGTACTAGTGTCTAAATTAAGGGTCAAATTAGCATAATTTGTTGAAATTGGCTAAAGAAGTTTAAATGATCTTTTTTAGGGTGAACTGCAGTGGCAAAATCTACCCCGGGGTAGTGTTCATTTTCAAAAAATCATTGCCACAGAAGTTGATAAACAAGACTTCACCTTTGATCTGACAAGGCATCAGTATTTTTCAATCAAGATGTTTTTCTCATTGTTAAACAGTCCTCTACTCCACTGGGACAAAGGACCAGTGTTCCTTCAAAGCATATATGACAACTTTGCTATTTATCCAGGAAAGTCGATCAAGTCAAATATTAATTTCATAAATGATGACATTAAAGCGTGGTAGTCGTCGCTGCGCATGTGCAAGATATATGGGTCTCATATAAACAAAGATGGCGACTTTGACTGTTGCGCAGATCAACGAGTACGAACTGAGACGTTTCCAAGTTTTAATTAAGTAATTTTCATGTTATTGGAAGGTATCAAAGGAGTCACCCAGTCACGCCCAGGTCAAACCTCATACTTGTGATTTCCATTTGAAGAGCGCATTGGGTTGTGGGAAAATCAATGTTTATCAACACAAATGTGGCACATGTGCAGCGCGACGACTATCATGCTTTAAGCATAAAGTTGTGCAAATGATGACTTTTTCAGTGCACAAATTAGTGAGGTCACCAAGCAAGACATGTGTAAATACAAAAGACAGTAAAGTTAATTTCAATTCTACTGGACCATTTACTGGACCTTAGAAAGCAGGTCATACCCTACCTTGTAAAGTCTGTCTTAAGAGCACCAGTCCCGGAGTAATGAACAGCTAAATAATCAGCATTGTCTGCCCAAGCTATAATAGAATAAAATATCAGGATTAATCTGTTGTACTCAACTGGCAATTGACACCCAGATTCATTGTATTTTGGAAAAGCAAATTTACAGCAATACTGAGCAGTAAACATTGATGATAAGCATATAGTGATGATTTATACCATGCTATCGAATCAGAAGATGCCAAGGAACTCCAGACAATGACAAACTCAAAACTGGAGAAGCAGAGACTGAAAATGGAAAATATATAAAAAGATACACTTACTATTTTTAAATATATATTCAAAATGCACCTGGTCATGTACATTTTGTCCAGGATTGAGCACACCAAATTTCTGGAAAATAAAAAGGAGAAGAAGTTAGGCAACATGCAGCCTCGACTGAGATAGCTCCACCACTAGCAATGCACTTATCGTTGGAACCCACACATGTTTTAGTTTATGTTAGAACTTTTACGATTACATCATTGCTTCATTTAGCTACAATGTTATAGCATTCAGCCAATAGCATGGTTTACCGCTCAAATGTTGTTATTGTTACAATCTGTCACTTGCTGTTGCTCCACCATCTTGTTGTCTCTTGGTGAGTCCGAAATAAAACTCTTGAATGACTAACTAATTGTTGTGACTGAGTGGTATTCCTAAATCGACCGCAGACGTCCCTAAATAGATTGTGGCTATCCCCACAGCACTTTTCAATTAGAGAATTGATGATATCATCACAAAATGAACAAATCTGTCAGAGGTCCACCTGTAGTACCTATATGTGTAATACCAAATCAATCAAGAAGTCAAAAATATAACTTTTTACAAAAATTACAGAGGTACATATACACCAGTATTAAAGCAATCAAGCTTGTAATTTTCAAGAAGTCTAAAAAGTAAAAAGTTAACACAGACACCGGAGACTAACAATAACTTATATGATAAGCTCCACAAAGTCGACAGCAGAGGTAACAAAAGGTATCTGCTACATGTTGAAAAGTTAGGCAACATAAGCTATCCATCACACATGATTAGAAGTTAGGCAACATAAGTTATTTCCTACATAGCATTTTATTTCTTTGCTTCACAAGAAGGAAGTAACATCTCACCACTAGAGGGCAGACTATTCATTGGATAGATGCATCATACTCCGTATCACTGAAGTTGAGAGCGATTAAGACAAGCTTACCTCTAATTGATGTTGTAAACTTCTTCTTGCGAGTAAACTTTGAACTACATTTGTCCTATCTAAGCAGTCAATACAATTTGTACGGAATACCCCTTCCTGTTGCCTTATACAAAATCCATCACGGCGCAACATAAAATACCTGAATAGACATAAATCATGTACAATTTAGAATTATATAATTGAACTTAAGAATTATTATAATAAGTTTAATTTGAAATAATAAGACAGTAAACCTTCAAAAATACAACCCTCCATCTTGGATCAGTCTTAATATAGTCTCTATTCCTTCTT